CCCTACCCTCAGACCAGGAATGAACTCTCCTCTCTTGTAGTAATCTGTGCTGGCTGCAGCTCGCTCCACTGAGGTGCCCATGGCATAGCGGTTGTTCTCACAGACAAAGATAACAGGCAGCTTCCAGAGAGCAGCCATGTTGTACGTTTCAAAGATCTGGCCCTGTTGAATATACACAAGGCTTTTTAAAGGTTATCCTGCAAAGTTGTGAAGTTACAGCTTCAAGACTTCCTAGAGTTTAGTCATGTTGTGCATTTAGCACATATTTGACAGATACTGGCCGTGCAGAGCCAAGCGTTGCTCTTCAACCCATTTACATACAAAATAAAAACTACATACCTGGTTGGCAGCACCATCACCATAGAGACAGACACACAGCTCATTGTTGCCCAGGTAATTGCAAGCAAGTGCAACACCAGCACCCAAAGGAACCTAGAGAAATCCCACATTGTGTGGACATTAGTGTTAAAGTCTAAGAACAAGTGTCAGTTCCAAACCAATGACATGTTTAAACCATAGAAGGCAAAAAGACACGTAGATGACATTTACCTGAGCACCAATAATTCCATTTCCACCATAGAAGGTTTTGCAGTACATGTGCATAGAGCCGCCCTTGCCCTTTGCAATTCCACCTCTTCTGCCTGTGCATGGAAAACATTAGTTGACATAACGAAAGTATTTCCATCTCAGAGTACTTATTGCCATTTGTTCCTTGATTCAGTGATGCCAAAAACTTCTTAGAGCCTTAATCTCAGGGAGTAAACCACCAAGGGCAAGCCACAATTGTGCCACCTTCATCCAATTAGGGAGACATTTCTATTGTCATCTTGTAACTGTAGTACTCCATGTACTGGGCTCTTTAGGATAATCTTTAAGTTTCTGAACCTCAATAGCTTGACTTTTGGGAAATATTAAAAACCTGTCAAGTTACTCTGGCAAGAACTGAACACTTACAACTGCCACGTTCACAGTGGAGTTGCCAAAATGAGTCCCATGTTTACTGATCTTTAGTCTTCAACAACTCACCAGTGAGCTCAGCCATGATCTCCTTGACAGTCCCTCCCCGGGTGTAAGTGTAGCCATGGACACGATATGCTGTGATCAGGTGGTCTGACAAGTTAATTGAGGCTTCAAGACCAACAGCACAGGCTTCCTATTATGAGAAAACAACTTCACGTGTCTGGACCTAAAGGGAGATTCTGAAGAGTAGCCAAAGAGTATTTTACAGTAATAGTACTGTGTTACTGCAATCTGCAATCAGATTGCAGTTCAAAGCCAGTTTCAGATCTTTAGCAGGTATTCAATGTATACCAGCCATGAGTTTCATTGTAGATGAAGAAAAAAACCCAACCTGGCCATCATACAAGTGACAGAATCCTCTAATCATCTTCTGCTTGTACAGCTGATCTGCCTTCAGCTCCATACGTCTCATGACCTGCATTGTGCGGTAGTACTGCAGACCCTCATCACGAGTCAAAACCACCTGAGTGGCAGGGCCCTCATCCAGCAGGAAGAGGTCACATTTCTGGAGAAGCAAATACCCATGAGTCAAAGTGCCAAGTGCCAGTCTGTGTTCAAGACCTCACTGTCAATCTTACCTTTATTTCAAAGGTAGCCCGAGTTGTGAAATCAGTGAATGTGCGTGCTGACATAATCAGTGCAGCACCCTGTTGAAACAAATTTAAGCACTTAGTCTTTAAAAGCAATGCATGTCATATGGAGACAGCCACAGAGATGATGCTTCAAGACATTTTTTCTCAAGCGCTGCTCCCATTAATCACTCAAACTAAAACACTAGTGGTTCTTTCCCCAACAAGCCAAAAGAATTTCTCCTTTGTAGAACCAGGTTTGTAGTTAAGCCATGCACTGAATAGTCTTTAAGCAGACTGTCAGTTTCCAGTAGTCTCAAGCCATCATCTGAAACAAATTAAAAGTTCTTATCCAGTGTAAATAATATTTTAGCACTAAAGCTTTAATGTTTAAATAAAAACAAGAACAAAAACCAAACAAAGCTTTTAACTCAGGTCACAATAAAATAAAAACTGAGTACTTGCATTCTTCCGGGCAGTCACTCGAAACACACTTGTGATACTGGCCAACATTTTGCCTACACTAACCCAAGACACAACTGTCCTTCCGGCTTAGGGCCTCTTCCCTGTCTTAAATATCGGCAGCTGACGGCGATCCCTCTGATGTGCATAGCACAGAGTGAAGTGAAAGCACCGGAGGTAATCAGGGTAAAGTGACTGCACCTGCAGGAAGGAGTGGAGTTCGTTAACAGTTTACTGATTAAAGGATTGGATGCTGTTGATTTTAAAAGAAAATGTAGGCATACTATTGATGATCATAAAGAGCCTGATACTCTCAGGTGATCTGTGTGCCGTGATAAATGGGGTGTGTTTTATTGAGTAAAGGGTGTTAAATTATTGTGTAGAAGGTGTAAAATTGGTGTGATAAAACTTGGCCATAGCCGTGTTTGGCCCACTGTGGTTGCCACATTTCATACTGTGTTGTATACTTTTTAAACAAGGAAAATTGCTGCATGAGCTTGTTAGGATCCTTGAAATCAATTTTTAAAATAAAATAAAACATAATAAAGGATCTGTCTAACTTGGGAGCTGCTGTCATACTGACGTAACCACAGTCTCAGGCCTTGATCTGTTTCTGTTACATCCTACATGTCTTTGAAGAAATATTCTCAGTCCAGCTGAGGATGTGGTCCCTGCCAGTCATAATGGTAGTTTAAATGCCCTTTTAGGTATGACCTATACGTTTCTGCAGTATGTTCATCCACTTTGTAAAGGCATTTGTATAAATTTGTGTTACAGAATCAATCACAACCATTAGTTTCATATCTGCAATAAAACCTTTCACCTATATAGCATAACAGTGCAATTCTTTAATGCTTCTTTAAGCTGTTTCAGCTATTAAACTTTGATGATGGCTATAACTTCACCTCGGTGTGTCCTTGGTCTTCCAGGTAGATGCCTGAGGTTTTTGAAATCTGGTGAGTGAGATCAGACTGCAGAGATCCTGATCCTGTAAAAAAAAATTAGGAGAAAAAACATCACTGCACACTTTCATGAAATGAATTAAAGTTGATGAAAGGAAGAAAAACAGGTTAAATTAGAGCAGAGCTCTGGGAAGCAAAACAATACAACAGCATCAGTTTTTATTAAATGTGATCTTCAGCCATTAAATTGTGATGGAGATGGCAAATGGTAAATGGCCTGTATTTGTATAGCGCTTTTCTAGTTCCTAAGGACCCCAAAGCGCTTTACACAACCTGTCATCCACCCATTCACACACTGGTGATGGCAAGTTACATTGTAGCCACAGCCACCCTGGGGCGCACTGACAGAGGCTCCCCAGGGTGCAATACCAAGCCAAGTGTATGACCCGGGAATCTACTGAGCAGGCGATCGGTTTATAGCTTGAAACTTACACACACGATCACTGAATGCACTTCCTGCTGTGAGACAACAGTGCCAACCACCACTGTCCACATTGTCCACATTCATTTAATTTTTTTAAAAAATGTCTTTGTAGAGTTTAATAAGTTCTCTCTACTATACAGCATATGCACTTTGCACAGGCTATAAGCATTCATCTGCACAGTAAAATGGTTACATCTATGTCACTCATTTATTTTTATTTGGTTTTGATTTCCTGCCCTGTATCAAATCCATCATAGACTCTCAGCTACAAGTACTGATACACTAATAAAATATTGAAACTGATTAGGTACAGTCTACAATCTTTCCATGCATAACATGAATAATCCAGATTGAGGTTGTCATAATGAAAGGGTTAAATAGCTGTTAGTGTGCCTTGTTTTGCAGCATGTTTCACAATATAAAAAAACATAATGTCACATCTGATTTAAAAACATGAAGACTTACACGTAAGCTGTAAATAAGCCGTCCTTATCTTTGAATCTAACCTCTCTTCTTCCTCTCTTGTGCGCTTTCTTATCTTTCTCCATCTCTGAGTGAAGTTAGCTCTCTTTTTTTTCTCTTCCTGTGAAATATAGCAGCTGGACCTTTAGCTAGCAACACACTGTGACAAACTGCACACAAACAATTTGTGTGCAGTTTGCTAATGTTTGTTGGTTTCTTAAGGCTCAAATAGGTTTGACGTGATGATAAAATAATCACCCCCAAATTTGTTAAAGCAAAAGTAACAAGACTGTTTTGAAAAGGAATAGAAAGTACATATATTTATTTAAAAATGCATGGAGTAAAAATAAAAAGTAAAAACTACTCACGGAAAGTACAGTACCTGGAAATTGTAATTTAGTACACCAACAAAATATTTGTACTTTGTTACTTCCCACCTCATGTGACAACGAGGCGGAGAGAGGTTCTTCAGCCAAGATTTTCAAAACATGATGTGTCCTACAAAAACCATCAGAGTTCATAACAGGCTTAACCTATACGTAAAGCTATCACCTGGGGATTTAACTGCAAATTAAACCATAACATATGGGCTCCATGGAGTGCCAGCCTGCTGCCTCAACATGCAGAAGCTGCCAGTGGCAGTTTGGATAGAATATAGAAGGTAGGAGAATCCAAACAAAATATCACTGCAAACTTTAAATATGCAAGTACAAATCTAGCAGCACTTTCTGGATGAAAGCATGAGGAAAACTCTCTCTGGGTCCTTCCCATGTAGCTTTGACTGGAAACAGCTTCTGCAGAATTGTCTCCTGAGCAGTCCCAGTTATTATCGCCACATTCATCAGATTCACAGGATACGGTCATCCTTTCAGACAGCCCTTTTAGGAAACGTCAGAAGCTGGATGCAGAAGCTAAGCAAATAAGAGTTAGCAGAGTTCCCCATTCTTCTAACAGTATCATTTTTGTTTGTAGCTTAAGTGCTCTGAACTGTGGTTATATCAACATGTAGAATGTTTTTTATTGTGTTTTCCAATTGTTGGAATCGATTCTCACCAGCAAACCTGGTGGAGAACGTATAATAAATGAATACAATCAAATATAAAGTCCCTGGTGGATGAAACCAGAAGAAAAATGGTCAACATACTGGTAGCTGACTTGACAGAAAAAAATGGGTCATTTATTTCTGGCCCTTTGATTTTACTATCGTTTGCAAATGATTTTAAATCTCTATTAATTCCAGGGAAGCTGACTAGTCCTTTTCCTTTTGATCTTGCAGTACATCACCACCACGACAGGTAAAAGAAATGTATGCCAGAGGAATTGTAACCTTTTTCCCTTACCTCAGTGACCCGTACTCCAAAAATGGCTATGTAAGTAGCTCACAGTAATAAGTGATACAACTAAAATCGCATTTAATCATTTTAAATCCTGCCAAAATGTACGTCCTTATCAACTGTTCATTGTTACATAACTGATAAATGAATAAACAAAATGTCTGTACATGTCACTCTCCAAGGAACATTATTATGATTGCGAAAGTGGCACTGCTTACTTGGCCTGGAGGATAAAAAACCATACAGAGATGGACCGCTAAAGGGAGGCGATTATCATCTGGAGGTAACACTTATAATTCAGTGGAAATACAGTATACAGTTCCAAATTGTGGTACAGTATTAATAATGGTTATCAAATGTTGTTATTAGTTTTGATAAAGCTGTATTTCGTATTGTCTAGCACCAGGAGATGGATCATCGGGTGAAGTCCGGTGTGGTGGACCAACTGTCAGACGAGAGTTGCAGTTTGTTACAGAGAAGTTACTGAGTGAGGATGAGTGCAAGGAAGCAATCTCTCTGATGAAACATTCAGCTGATAAAGACACAGTAAAGAAGAAGATGAAGTTGGCATTTGTTTATCGACACAACATGGTCCTTGACCCCCTGCTGTCAAGCAACATACTGTCTGTTTTTCCACATTTCAAAGATATCAAAGGCTTGGTGAATATTTGTCATTACTTTGACAATGTAAACACATTTTATTTTTGCAGATAGCAGATATAATTCTCTATTCTCTATCCCTGTTACAGATCGAACAGGATTTTGTATTGATGTTTGGTGAGGATGTATCAGGCAGGTTGCTGAAAAGGTGGCCAACAACATTCAAAAGAAAGATTATCCAACAAGGCAGAAAGCTTCCTTCAACCAGTGACCTGAAAAAACTCTTGCTGGCAGTTGACTCTCCTGAGGATGCCACTGAATTTAATGTTGACATTGGTGAGCTGTTGTTTCTTGGATTAGCACATTTATAGCATATATAATGTTTGTCACAGAACAGCTATCCTTTTTGTAATTTGGGTCTTCAAACATTTTATCAATGCAGATGCATTGAAATGTGTTGTTGATGATGATGATTCAACTTTATTAAAAACAAATATTTTTTGCAGGCTGGGACAGTGACCTCTCAGCAATTCTATTGCTATTACATCTGATTCCACCATCCGGTCAGGGTCAGAAGAGACCAGGAAATGTATCAGCTTCTTAAGCAGAACTGTCATGATTCGGCCGTGTGGCAGGCAGGATGAGGACCCAAATTGCAAACTCACAGACACGGGGGATAAACTCAAAATGCAGCTTTATTGCTGACAGGTGATAAACAATAACGATGATACAAAAGCAATGCAAAACCACACTAAACTGGGAAAAGCTAAAGTAACATATACTGGAAGACACGGGGAGAACCACACACGGCATGAGGGAGAACGCGACGCCGAACAGAGGGAGACGCAGACGGAAATACACAGAGGGTTAACGAGGAAAGTGGGAACACACGGGGAACACAGCTGACACAGATAACCATAACGAGACACTGACGGGAGACGGGCAGAGTCAAACAGGAAGTACAGAGGTTCAGACAGGAGGAGAGAGAGCACGGGGAAAAACACAGACATAACGGGCTGGGGAAACATGGAACAACCACAAAGGGAGACGAGGGCTCATAAATACAGAGAGGGCACACAGGGGGGAGAGAGAGCACGGGGAGAACTTAGACATAACGGGCAGGGGAAACATGGAATAAAACATAAGGAGAGACGAAGGCTCACAGATACACAGAGGGGCACACAGGGGGTGAGAGTCACAAAGGGAAAGCACTCAGGGAACACCACAACAGGGCAACTCAGGAAACAGAGCCTAAACAGGGAACTGAAATACAAAGATACATAAAACTAAGAATACTGGGCCAACATGGCCCAGGACCATGACAAGAACGGCATCTTGTGGTCTTCAAGAAGGTTTGTGTTTCTTTTCTATTTTTGTGTTATGAATTACCAATTTAAGAAACACTTGATTCTTATTGCTTGTCTGTATTTGTCTTTTCATACTGGAGCAAATATCCAAGAGCACCTTGATGCCATCACTACTAGCACTCAACCCTACCTCCTGGCTGTTGGGGTGAAAAAGAATGACATCCACCGGTTCTTCATTATTCTTGACAACAATGCCATACCATGCAAGTCTACCTCTTCACTTGGTGCTTTTGATGAACTGTTTAAAGCACATTTTGTGTTTGGCACATCTTACAACACCCTGCTTCACAACATGTACAAATTCATCCAAACCACAGGTTTTAGAAAACATTTAAATACCAAACATGTTAACTATTTTGACCAACAGGTTGACACTGATGTTAATCTACAGCCTGATGTGGAAGTTAAAGAAGTTAGCGTTACAGGGGAGGTGATGTCAACTAATGTAGAAGAAACACCCACAACATCTGAAAAGTTGAAAAGGTCAAATAAGAGCACTTTGGATATGTGTGCCTCTGCTGTTGCACAGCTCAAGGCAGCAGGATTAAGCCAATCTACTGTGAATAGTTTTGTCTCCTCAATGGAGAAAGTGATTTTTTGAGATTCATACTCAGGCTAAAAATGCAGCCTTACAGAGCGTACACCACAAGTAAAAATAAAAAAGACAAACAGTATCCCACGCTTCAAGATTTGATGTGTTGGAGCCGGAGAAAGGGGCACGTTATGGAGTAGACGCGCAAACCACGAGGTCCCAGTTATTTGTTAAATTACTTTATGGTTCACCTATTGTGGCCCGATTTCAGAGATTCCTTAAGCTCTATTAAGAAAGTCAGCATTGTTTTAGTAGTTGTTTTTTCCGTCTTTTTGGCTTATCCTGAAGTGAAATACCTCCTAAGCAGTCTGCTAAAAAAAAAAAAAGGCTAGCTGCTCAGAGACTGCAGCGAGCAGTCAACTGAAATGTAGCATTTCTTCAACAAACACACCTTAAGAATAATGACCATGCCAGATTAAGACGAAGTTGGGTTGGACACATTTTTCATTCCAAATTTAATGGTAAAGCCAGAGGCGCAGCAATTTTGATCAATAAGAATATTCCATTTATAGTCTCTCACACAACAGCTGACCCAGGTGGTCGGTATGTAGTTGTGACAGGATTCCTTTTTAATACTTCACTTTTTTTGAGTGCTCCGGATGGGAATGACTCAAAATTTTTCAGTTACTTTTTTAATTCCCTTCCACAGATTGATACACACCAATTGGTCCTTGGAAGAGCCATGAATACTGTTACGGATCTAGCACTAGATTGCTCCTCAGAGAAAAGATTCATATGGATTACTTTTTTTCGACAAAAAATTGCTTCCTAATATCAAGACTTGTAAATACAATAGCACAGTAATATCACAGTCCACTTGTTTTGGAACTCAGCTTCCCGGACGATCCCTTTGTGTACTCCTGGAGACTCAATCCTCTTCTTTTGTCAGATTTGTCAGAGTTTGTGGAATATCATTCCAAACAAATTGATATCTTTATAAGAACAAACATTACGCCTGGCATGGCCTACAGTACAGTTTGTGAAAACTTAAAAGCATTCTTACGGGGCAATATTATATCATACTGTTCATATACTAGAAAACAGAAACATCTATCTGAATTGATACACCTTATTTCGCAATTGGATGAGCAACACTCTACAACCCCCTCTCCAGATCTGTATAAACAAAGATTAACTTTACAAACTGAACTTTATTTAATCTCAACCCAGCAGTTAGAGTCTATGATTCTCAAATCTAGGGGAAGATGGTTTGAGCACAGACAAATCAAATATGAGGCTATATTATGGGAGCGTGAAGGTATGCCAGGGGGCGAGAAGGATAGAAGTTACTCGGTTCCCCTGGTGTTAGGATTTCAGCACACTGTCCAGGAGGTCCCTTTTAGAGGTAGTCCGGCAGGTATTGCAGCCTATGAATCTGAATTACAGGAGTTAAAAGAGATTCTTAAAAGTCAGCAAGAGCAGTTGAATTAGCTCGCAAGGAGCTGCTTTGAATAGTGCTTATCCTAACCATATCCTGCCATATCCTGTAATAAGGCCGTAATTTGCAGACGGTGCCAGAAGGTTGAGCATTTTGCCAGAGAGTGCCCTGGCGAGCCCACAGTTATGCCTACGCAATCCAGCGGAGGCCTGTTCAAGTAATGTTGCTTGCTCTTCCATTCAGGGAAACTTCCGCCCGGTGAACCATTGAGCCAAGGTTCGGTTGGGGCGTCCTAGGCTCACAGCCTGTAGTACCTGACCCTTTGCCCCAGGTTATTGGTAGGAAACCACTAACCCCTGCTTTTCAAGCCACTACCTCTGTCTTCCCTGGGTATGCATTGTCTGACCTTCGTGTTTTACAGGAGACTGACCCCTTGATTGGAAACCGAGATGGTGGCCTGATGCCAAAGAGCGTGGTCGCACTTCAAGGCGGGCTCTCAGGTTGGCCAGGCAGTGGCGTAGGTCAGTGGAGCGGGATGGCGTCATCGTAGGAGAGGAGAGGCGCCGCAGGTATTGTTGCCCAAATCCCTTCAGGGTCAGGTTTTGTAGTACGGTTATCAGGGTGTTCGGAGAACAGTAGATGTGGTTTCTCAATGGTGATACTGGTTAGGGATGTATGGAAACATCCAAAAGTGGTGCCAGGAGTCGTCTAAAGATGCACAAACCCATCCTAATGTTTATGTGGGTCATTTGCTGGCATCCCGACCAAAGCAAATTCCTGCAGCTAAATGGCGTAAGACGTGCCACGACCAGTGTGTAAAGGATGCTCCCCTGCGAGAAGGTCAGTTGGTTTACCTGAAGGAAGTTGGGCTTAGAGGCTTAGAGTCATGAAATTCAGGGTGTTTGGAGTTAAGTGGTGTATAAAGTGCTTGAGGCCCCTGACCAAAATGGGTCCATGTACACTGTTGCTCTGGTAGATAACCTGAGTCACGTGAAACATGTTCACTGTTCACAATTAAAGAAGAATGTGGAATTTGAGAGCCTTTGTCCCTTCAGTGCTCCAGTTCAACTACTAGAAACTGCCTCTATAGAGGAACCTATGCAAGATTGTGAGTGGTTTTTATTGGTTTTTGAACCTAATCTGGCCCCAAGAAATTGCCAACCAAGACTGAAGACTCCTCGCCCACGTAGATCAGGCTAGCTAGAACCCTTAAGATCCACTGTGGTGTCGGTTTGCACAAATCTGTTGCCAGGTATTGCTGACGTCCAGAATGGTGTAGCCCCTTTACGTAGGACTACTTGGGCTAATGCTGGGACACACTCGAATCCGCATAATCTTCGCCAGGTAGCAGGGAGTAGAGCAATCAAGGCTGGGAGTCCCCAGGTACTGGTGCCCGATACAATTACCCTGTTTAGTAGGGGTGCAACAATACTCGTATCGGTATCGAACAATACAAATTTTTTTATTTATTTTATCAACTTTTCTTCTGACGATGCGTTCGACTACTCCGCCTAGGCTGCACTGTCGAGCGCAGATCCACTGAGCGCAGCGCAAGCTAGCGAGACAGAAGTTAAGCTCGTTGCAACATGGCAACTGCCTCAATGCTACCCGAAATTGAACCTCCCCCACCCTCATTCAGATCTGGCGTATGGAACTATCTGTCATGGTCCGGGTGAGCACGGGGTTTTTCCACTCCGCTGGGTTCTACCTTCAGGCAGAGACTCCAATCAGCTTCCACACCTGGTTCCAATCAAGTCACCTGCATATAAGACCAGCATTCACAACAGACCTCTGCCAGATCTTCTGCTAACCCATGTCAGTGCTAGGCTGCGAACCCCTTGTGAGAACCCTCAACTACTGCTTTTTCCCTCACCGTGTTTTCTTTGTCATAGGACCCACCTGGCAGTCACGTTTCCCGAACTACCCTCATCTCCGCCTGGACGCTGGTTCTGTCATCTGGTTTCTTCCTCTCCACCATCGGACTACACCTGCCTGCCTCCCTGCCAAGTCCCTCACTCCACGCATATTCTGGATCCTCTCTGGACACTCCTCACCCGGAACCCCCTGGACACCCCTTCCTCGCATGACACTTTAAACCTGCAACGCGTAAGCCCTAACCTCCATAGCCTAATCCTGCAGCTGTGATTCACTGGACTGCCACTGACTACTTGTCTCTTCTCATTATAGTGACTGCGTACCTCCATCCAAGCCGCTGCCCCTTTTTTCCATCCGTGAAATCCAGCACCTAGCCATAGCACTCAGTTTCATGTTCACAGTTTGGCCTCACAGTTCACAGTTCATAGCATTTCATAATTCATAGCATTCATAGTCTCCTGTTGTGTAATTTCACTAGACACTTGTAAATAAAGCACTGTGTTCACGCCCGTTTGCCTCCCTCTGTGTCTGCATTTGAGTCCACACCCACAGCCGGGCCCTCTCGGCCGTAACACTATCTTGGTTTTCATGTGAAGCATGACCCTGATGTTAGCGCGTCATGGACAAAAGTAAAACAGTATGTTGGATGTGCCACGCAATGCTCAATTACATTTGTGGGACCTAGTGCGTTAACGCAGTTAGATCGTGTTAGATTATAATATTATTTTATGCCATGTTATACCCCTAATTAAAGATTGTGAATTATTATGTAGTTTTAGTTTGCATTATTCTCCTGAATTAGAAGAAGCTGATAACTATTGCATTAGTTAAACTGATTTGCATTACATTAGACTGCTGATTTATTGTGGATGAATGATATTGTTTTATGATGTTATAAGAAATACTGTTTGCAGAAAGTCATCGCCTTATTTGTCTGATTAGAAGAGAACAGAATATACTGGAGTTTTCTGCCCCATCTCAGCAGGAGCAGATAAACGGGGAGCCAAGGTCGTAGCTTAGGCGCCGTGTGAGAGAAAGCATGTGAATGTTTAGGCTTTTATGATAAGGTGGAGGCACCAGAGGCTATAAGAGTTTGAGCAATGCTCCACCATTTTGAGATCTGAGGCTGTCTGCATACAGTGTCCATCTCCCACGCGTGTGATCATTAAAATCATCGTTTGACTCAACCCGACCGGACCAGTGTTGTTATTGTGGTTTTTTCTCTTGTCTCCATCCCCAATTTTGAACTCGTAACAATCGTTAACGTGTTGACGCCATCCAGCCCCACACATGGGGCAATCCGCGGTAACTCGTTAACGGAGATTTGCGCGTTATGGCGTTAATGTCATTTTAATGAGATTAACGCTGACAGCACTAGTGGGAACACAACGAATATGACTGCACATTTACTCCGACATCATCCTAGTGCAAAGACAAGTGGAAGCAGACAAAAACAACAAGCACGCATGCTACAAACTTTACCCGAGTCATTTAGACAGCCATTAGCACATGATTCTCCTTATGGGGACCTGATATGTTTAATATGCTGCTGAGAATATAGCCCAGAAGAAGCGTATAGTATAGCTTTTATTTTGGAAAGAGCCATTTCTCTGTAATAAACTCTCTTTTCCAAAGATGAGTGATTTCTCGATCAGATAGATTTATTTATTTTATTACTTTGTTGTTTCAGCAACATTAAATTTAAAAACTGTACTTTTGAGTTAAAATATATATTTATAATTTTAATAAATGACAAATTAAAAAGGCATGAACATTTTTTTTGTATCGAAAAAATATCGAACCGTGACACCAAAGTATCGAACCGAACCGTGAATTTTGTGTATCGTTGCACCCCTACCGTTTAGACGTTGGCAGTAAATGTCAATAGTCAGGACAACGATTCAAATCCCGGGGGTTAATTGTAGTGAAGTCTGCGAATGCAGACTTCACTAATATTCTTTCCTGGGGTGTAACTTCCCCCAGGTAGCGCCCCTCCGTAATCCCTCGCACCGCTACAATTTGGTGTCTGTCGACAGGATGTAGGTTCAGTGTTAACCTGCCCCAGCCAAGTCCTTTCCTCCCCTCCTCGTGCCGCTACATTATAATTGGAGTATATTTGTCTTCTCTCTTGTTAAAAACAAAAAACAGAAAAACCAAACAAAAAACCTTAACACTAGGTCTGCACTTGCAGGCCTCACTGGTTCAAAGATTTATCCCCATAAACAAAGCAAGACAATCAGAGATCAATCTATTTCAACTTGCAAGGGGAGCCGATCGGATCAGGGCCTTAGAGCTGAAAGCTCCTCACCTGATCCCAGACAACTAAAAAAAAACAGTGTCCTTACATTCCTTACCAAATAAGAAAACCAGGACCTTACATGAAATGGGCCTGCAGTTAAACACTATAGCTATAACCTCCTCCACCATCCTACAAGTAAGAAAGGGAAAGAAAAATATCTGAACATGCAGTTCAGGACAAGGTTTACAAATTTAAGTACAATGACAACTTTTACCAAAATCACCCTAACACTATTTGGTTATGAAACAACATCAGCATCTTGGCCACTCTGCATGAAACAGACTTTTTGTTAAAATGTTTTTTCAGCAAGTTGAGAAGAACATTGGGTCAAAAGAGCCAGGACCATGACATTCACATTCGTATCATCAATTTTCTGTAGGGGAAATCGGGAGAGAAAGGAAAGAAGAAAACTGTTAGTAAAACATAAACATAAAGATTAAAATATACAAGAATTAATATTTAACAGCATAAACAAAGTGAAAGAAAATCAAAGGAATTAAAAAACATTAACAATTGTTGCCAGTAAACAGGCGTGATATAACACCAGAAATGAAATTGTTTTGAGCCCAACTAAAAGGTTTGGTTTGGTGCCTAATGTGTTGCCGGCTTTGTTTGGTTGTATTTCTCACACTATATCCTGCAGTGAAACTGCTTTTCACACAGGGTATTGTTTCTCATCTTTCTCCCACTGCTTCAGAAATATATTCTGTATGCAATTATTACTTCCATGCATTAAACACACACACACACACACAGACTACTGATCTCACATGTATATGAAGTTCTCAATCATAGTTTCCACTTTAATTTAAACACAGCATTTCTTCAGAAGGATTGAGATTAACAATATAACAACACAAGGCTCAATCTGCTGTGAATAAATCTCACTAATTTTAGTGATCCTGAACAAATTTTGATTTCTTTATTTGCACTGAAATAATTTACTTAGTGACTTTGTTTCTACTTTGTGATAAACTTCTAAGTGAATAAAAAGTTAACACTGAGATTAAAATTGTAACAGAGATGTGGCATTTTTCAGCAATGATGATGCACATTTAGTAGGTTCCAATCAAATACTACTTGCATTTTTCAAAGTCAAATTATTATTAGTTCTTCTGTGTGCTATTTTTTGCCGTTATGTGTCACTTTCTTTAGAAACCAGTTTCAACTCAGAGGCAACACTAAAAGCTGTCATCTCCTGTAGAAGTGTGAACAGGAACCGTGGAGGCCACAGTCAAATTCTGAGTATTAAAACCAAATGATAACCACTTCCTTCTCAGCACTTCAGATAAATTCCTGAATCTCCTGTTAACACATCACCTTTACTCTTTGAAGAGTAAAGGTGCTTCAGCGTCATCATGGTGGCTTGTGAAAGACAGCTTCTGGGCCTGGCCTTGGCCATCATTGGCTTTGTGGGGACCATTAGCATCTGTGCTCTTCCCACATGGACAGTGCATAAAGTCAACCATCAATCATCGAACAACGTGCAATCTGAAGGTTTGTGGAAAGCCTGTGATACCGTCAATGCAGAGCACGTGGAGTGCAAACAATATGGAAAACGACTCTATATAAGTCTAGACCTTGAGGTTGCCAGAGTGCTCATCATCATTGCCATTATTATTGGTGTCTTTGGGATCCTGCTCGGTGTTGTTGGGAGCAAATTCATCAACTTTGTGCCAGATGAAATGAAAAAGAGCAAAATAGCTATGGTTTCCGGAGTTGCTATTCTCTTTGCTGGCCTCTTTGTTCTAATACCAGTCTGCTGGACCACCATCACCATCACCTATGTTCTGCAGGGTGACCGTGTAAAGAGTGAACCGGGAGCCTTGCTTTACATTGGCTGGATCACCACAGCACTTCTGTTCCTGGGAGGAGGCCTCCTCTGCAGCTCCTTTATCTGCAGAGATGGAACTGACCAAGATGTTGAGTACGTCAACCCTCACTCTTTGTAAATAGTCTTTTTTACAAAGAGCAGTTACTTAGTTACTCATATTAACCTAAGCTTTGAAATCCAGCAGTCTGTTAAAAAGAAAAAAAAAAGGTTGAATGAGTAGTACAAGAAAGTTTAAAATGTAATTAAAATAGGAAAAACTTTCGGCAATTTGTGGATGTAACTTAATTCTTGATATATTTTGTTGTATTTTATACCAGACAGTTTTTCTTCTTATGTTTACTGTTTATGCTATTTACTATAAGAATTTGGACACAGTTTCCCTTTTTTTCTGTTATCTTTGTAAAGATCAAAAGCATGTGCATTCAAAACCTCTATAAAACATGAATGTGTATCTTAAATCCAGATCTGATCTTTGACTTTTTCTTTATCAAACTGTTCAATATTGATTGTGTTTTTCATTTGCAGTTGCATTGAGAATACCTTTCTGCAGTATTTGTTTGCAGTTTTTTGATTAGGTATGATTGTATTGTAACAGTAAAATTGTCACATTAAGTTGTCGGTTAATAAGAGAATGAGATCATGTTTTGGGCATTTTGAGTTTTGCTTAGTGTTTTTAAAGATGTCTTTTTGGTGGCTGTTTTTCTGAAAGAAGCCAATTAAAAAATGTTTGTTTTCTTTTGTTTGGATTTTTAAATGTATTGCATCCAGTGTTGGGCAAGTTACTTTGAAAAAGTAATTAATTTAAATATAAATATATAAATATAAATCATAACAGACTTCAAAGATACCACAGTGTACTCCTGCTGTGGAGAGGGTTTGTGGAAGAAATGTGAATTCGCAGAAAACTCATCCTTTGGTGTGTGTATGGATTACGAGCACATACCATTACCTAAAGAGCTGAGGGCTGCCAGAGTATTTATGATCATTGCCATTATCATTGAGCTCCTTGCGATGCTGCTTGGTGCAGCTGGGAGCAAGTTTATTAACTTTGTGCCAATTAAAAGGCAAAGGAGCAAAATGGCTCTGACTTCTGGAATTGCCTACCTCATTGCAGGCCTCTTTGTTCTCATACCAGTCAGCTGGACAGCCAACACCATCAGTGATCATTTTCATCCTACCCAGTCTCCTTATGATCCTCACCATGGGATGCTTAGGAAGCTGGAGTGTGGAACCTCGCTCTACATTGGCTGGTTCACCGCCATCCTTCTGTCCCTGGGAGGAGGCCTCATCTGCAGCTCCTTTTTCTGCAGGGCAGAAACTGACTAAAACATTAAGTACTCCAACTCTTACCATGTAAGCAAGGCCATATGTAATAAGGCTTATTTTTATACATCGAGCAGTCTCTTGGAAATAAGAAAAAGGTTTTCTGAAAGTTTTCATCTTTACTTTGTCCTTTGAATGAGTAGATTAACAAAGTATAAAATCAGATTAAAAAAAGAAAAATTTTGCAGTTTGGTTATGTAACTTGCTTCTAAATCCTTTTTGTTGTATCCTACACCATTATAACCACCTTTGCATTCTTTTAAAATTTATTATTTGTGTTCTTCGCTTTGTTATATGAAAAGAGACGTTCCTTTTTTGTGTAAAATCATACAAAGCATGTGCATTTAAAAATGCTATAATTTTTGTTTTTTTGTTTTTTTTCTTTCTTCCCCCCTTCTCACCGTCTCTTCTCCCCTTTGGTTTTCTTTCTCTCCCTCTCTTTCTTTCATTCTTTCTCCCTGTCCTATCCCCCAGTCATGTCTGTCCCGTTTGTAGCAACTGAAAATAAAATAAATTCATAATTATAATAAAGGTCAATCAAATGGACCAATATGGCAAGGCCATGATGATCCACTTGGTAAAATAAATCCGCTTGGCATCTTTCTTGGCCTTAAGACAACATGGCTAAAGATCCAAACGGGACACAAAAAAAAAAAATAAAAAAATAAAGAAATGCTATAAAATCTGACTCTACACTGGTTTAAGTCTATGTTTTATCTTTTAGTATCATCTGTTTATGTGATTGTATACAAGTAAGACTTATCTCAAATGAGAATATATATTTCTGAGCATGTAAAATGATGTGTATTTTTTTATTTCTCTTTTTGGTTCCTTTTTTGTTAAAGTGGCTAAACGCAAAGCTCATTAACCGCAAAGCCGTTTCAGCAGGCTTTTTGCTTTTGTTTTCTTCGAGACGATTGCTTACTCCAGTTACACACAACAAGAAAGAAAATATAAGGATTTATATATATTTAATACATTTCAATATATTTACCAGTACATTTCAGAATAAATGTAAATATATGTGTGAAAATACAAACAAAATAAACAATCACGTGTACTTGTAATGCTGTGAAGATGTATTCACATTTATCTGATTTCAGATAAAATATATTTCCGTATATTCTTTATATTGTGAAATAAAAACACTAGTAACTGACACAAGCACAAGACTGCAACACCAGATTTTTATGCTAACAACACCTTTTTGAAGGAATTCTCCTGAATTTCACCAGCGCAAACCGTGCTCGTCCTAAAGATTCAGAAACTAAAACTGTGACAGGAAAAAAAGGAATACAAACGCTTTCGTCTTTTCCTTCATTTTTCTTCCGGTCTCTGATTTAAAAAACAAATTAATGTGAAAAGCACAGCAAAACCCTGGTTAAAATTAGCAAGTTGATATCCAACTTTGTGTGACTGCTTATCCCGTTTGCCAGCGTTAGGGAAAGTGAACCCAGATAATTGACAGTTACCCTGGTTACGCTGAGCTCACTTTGTAGTTTAAGGTTTAAATTTACAGTAAAACTTGCTCTGTTCCATTGGTCTGCCCACAGCGGGAGTCTTCCTGCTTGAGAAGAACTTTTTGCACCTTTTCTGAATGGAGTCATTAAATCTTGTATAAGGCTAAGTAGATATGGTCAGATAAAGCTTCCTGAAGCACCGAATTACTCACAGATTTTCAATACAGTCCTCTTTGGTGACATCTGGTGGCAAAAAATATGAAGAGCAGCTTGAATCTGCAAATTACGAAATACCTCATTATGATTGCCCCCTCTACAGATGTACGTGTTTTGGCAGTTCTCTCTGACATCTGGGTACCGCAGTGGTCCTTTAACACATATTTTTGGGGTGAAAATATTATGTTGACAATTTGTGGGGAGAGTTGCTTATGAACTGGTTTTTATTTATGAAGAAGCAGAACACTGACTGAAAAATTGACAGCGTATGACCCCACTTCCTGCTCAGATCTTCCCTCACAGATAAAAATTACAGCTCTCAAGGACACACTATGTCCATCCTTCCATTCATCCTTTTCAGGGTTGCAGGAGGGCTTTAAGCCTATCCCTGCTGTCTTAGGGCAAGAGGCAGTGTACACCCTGGACAGTCTGTCACAGGGCTAACACAGATACAGAAGACAACCATTCACACTTAAATTTACACCAATGTTGGTGAGAGTCCAATTAACCAACACGAGAAGAGGAGGCTGCATGTGTAAATATATACACTTTGAGATCCTATAAAGAGTGCAACGAGAGCATAAAGTGTAAATGACATTTTCACACGATGTGCAGATACTGAGAGCTAAGTGAACTCTTTCCAACTCTCATGCAAAAGAAAAGTTACTGCAAAAAGGTCTTATTTTTACCTGCATTCTCATACTCGGCTCTTCTTTTATCCATAATTCAAGAGAAGTCAAAACTATTTTAAATGACAGTCATATTTTATAATGTGACGTATGGCTGTCAACAACATTGGTATTCACATGTTCTAAGTAATATATCTATATTTAATTTGTGGCTTGGAGATTGCAGCATCAGTACAATCTAATGTGTGCTTTCTCATGCAATGTGAGCGAGCGAGTAAGGAAGCCACTCGAGTGGTTTCAAGTGTGAAAACCACATAAAAACTAGTTCCTGCTCAGCTGCCGCTCACTGTTAAATAACTGGAGCACTCAGACCACATCACCCCTCCTCTTTGAAGCGGTGGAAGACAGTTTCTTGATTTGGCCTCGGCCATCGTCAGTTTACCTATATACAATTAAATCTATCAATCACTAAATTAACTGAAACTGAAAAGAGAGTTAAACACAAAATGAGAGTGAAGAAAGACAGACAGTCAGAGACCCTGTATACTGGCAGCTCCTTTACTTTTGGTTGTTCTGTGTGGGTGAGACAACTAATCTCACCATGTACATCTTGAATAGGTTGAGTATAGATGATATAGTTTCAATAAAAACAATTTTATGACAGAAATTTATTGGACATATCACATTAACCAACTTTAGTTCCTGAAGAAGATTTTTAAAACGTATCCAATGTGAGCACACAGAAGAACATGGATTACAGAAGATCATTAGATGATCTCATCTGAGTACGAGCCAACAGATGAGTAAACTGCACTGAATAAAAGTTTCAGACCATGTGGATGTTCCCCTCTAAATTTAAGTAAACTGAGCATAAAGGCCATGCCACTTCATTTAAAACACATGATCACAAGTTGAACCAGGCACAAAGCAACAAATTGCAACAAGAACATCCGGTGATGAAGATGAGTCTGTTATCATCGTTGCAGCTACATATCAGTGACTGAACTACAAGTATCTACTGGTAATGAAGATAATCTGTAGTCACATCTTCTTCCTCGGAACTCTACATTAGTATCTGCTATGAGTAAATCTCACATTTCAGTGAGAATGAAGGAATTTATATTCCTCTATTTATGAGGAAACAATAATGTTTGATTTTGTTTGTATTTAGTCACAAAATGCTGAATCATTAAAGACTTTAATGTAATTAACTTAAACCAGGATTGCCACAGACCATTTTAAAAAAATATAATCCAATTGTAATTTTCTTTAGATTTAATTAACAAATATATGCGATTTCCTTTGCAACCTTTTTCTAATTATACTTTTTACTCTCTCTGAGAGTCTGGGTTTCCTTTAGAGAACATTTTCAGCTTAAAGGCAACAATATGTCTTTTCCTTTAACAGCATGATTAGTGAGTTGGAAACTAGTCAGCTCCTCTGATCATGAAAAACACATAAAAACCACTTCCTGCCCAGCTCTTTTCTAAATTACTGCAACTCTCAAGAACACACTGTCTTTCCTCTTTGAAGAGCTCAAGAAAACTTCATCATGAAACCTGGCCGGAGACAGCTTCTAGGTTTGGTCTTGGCCATTTTCGGAGTCCTGGGGAGCATCATCAGCTGTGCTCTCCCCACATGGAGATCCCCTGAGTGGAGGAAATCCGAGGGTTTGTGGAAGTCCTGTAACTTTGATTATAGTTACTATCTACGACCAACAATAGAGTGCAAATCTCATGATTCTCTGCTGGCCTTACCTCAAGACCTGCAGGCTGCCAGAGTGCTCATCGTCTTCGCCATCATTGTCGGGATCTTTGGAGTCATAGTTGGTGTTGTCGGGGGCAACTGCACCAACTTGGTGTCAAATAAGAGGAAAAATAGCAAAGTGGCTATAGCTTCTGGAATTATCTTCATCATATCAGGTGTCCTGGTGATCATTCCAATCTGCTGGAGCACCATCACAACTCTCACCATGGCGAGAACGTCTTACTACGGACCTCCATTGATGGGAGCCTCACTCTACATCGGCTGGGCATCTGCAGGGCTGCTGTTACTGGGAGGAAGCCTCCTCTGCTTCTTTTGTTCATGCAGTAATGAGAATGAATACTCCAAACCTAGCTCTGTGTAAAAATATATAAATACTTCTATAAACTAAATAAATTTAAATGTATACAGTCTCTAGGGATCAAGAGAAATGTTTTAGAAAAGCTTTACTGTATTTTTCTTGACTGAGTAAAAAAATAAAGCATGGAATGTGACCAAAACAGGCAAAAATGTTTGCAGTGTAATTGTGTAAAACAAATATTTCTTTTAGTCTCTTTTTATATTATATCATAGGTATAGAAACAGGGGTTTTTTCTAGGTAGTCTTCTTCATTTCAACTTTCAAAAAAGTCTGACAGGGAAACCAATGTTTTAAGTGTAGGTCAGGTCTGTGATTACTCTTTCATCACTGAACTGTTGAGTGCTGTCACTGATTTGTATCCACGGTGTGAATAGTGTCCTCATTTTTCTTTTCTTTTCCTTCTTTATGTAAGATTGCATGCCAGTAAAATTTTATAATAAGTGATGGTGTATATTTACTTTTTTTATCTGATCATGATGGATCTTTTTCTGTGAAGGTTTAATAAACATAATCAGAATGTGTTTGTGTTTATGTAGATCTCTCATGATTTAAAAGACTAATGAGAATTAAGGTTTTTTTTCATTGAAGATCAAGAGGAGAGGAAAATATTTTTAATAAAGACAACACTGTTGAGCTTCATTTTTTGCATTTCTAATTTACAGTGTAAAATATTTGTTGTAAAAACCAAGCAATTAGTGTCTGTATACGTGTGTGTCGGTCTGTGGTTACGCTTTATCATTCAAGCAAAAGGCTACATGTACTGCAGGAAACACATGTTCATCATAGTTAATAAATGTAGTTGCATATGCAGTCTAGTTCGACATTAAAGAAAGTTATTTTGTAATACATTAAACCACAAATTAAAAATCATATGAAAGAAGAGTCAGTTTTGATTTTCTTTATTACTTTGAAAGTGCTCCTAGGCAAAGCTAAACTAAACTGACATTAAATAGCAAACCACTGCCACAGAACATTGAGCTGCTATCTCCAAGTTGTCCTATAAATAGTTCAACCTACTTTCTGCGCTAAATGAAATGAAATAACATGTTAGTATCAAATCCAGCATTCACATGTGAAGACTGATAACATTTGTTTAATGCTAATGTTTTGTTCTAGTTGTGAGGGGAAACACAAAAATTCTTGTGTAGATATTTTTTTTCCACTTTAAAAACATGTAGTAGTTTGCCTTTGCATGCCAAATTATAACCTCAGTGTGTGAGATGCTGGTGTTTTTTCACCTCTGAATGCAAACATAGAAAAAAAGACACTGGATGGTCTGTTTGTCTTTTTCTAAATAAATGTGTTGTGAAATGTTTAATTCATATTTAACAATTAAATTATAACATTTTCTTATCCTATAATATATTCAATTATACCAACACTGTTATTATTAGTTTACCCACAGGGAAATGTGGCATTTCCAGTTTTAAAGCAGGATTGGAGAAGCTTGGGAAAACTTGTACAAAAATAAAGAAATTACTGTAGATCGCACATCGGTGGAAATCATACCTATAGTAGCATATATTACCACATTAGATTGGTTACTTTTTATAAATACTTAGAAGTCTACAATGTCTATAATGTGAGTGTGTTTACCTGTCAAACACGAGGAAAGTGTTTGTGTGAGAATCCATTAGTGTTTTCATTTTCTCTTTAAAGAAGACTGATATTCACACTGTCATGGTTCTGGGTCATTCGACCCAGCATTTTAAGTTTATGATTTCTTTCTGTTGTATTGTTATGTTTTAGTTTTCTGTTACTTAGTTTAGTCGTGGTTTTTCCTGCTGAGTTATTTCTACTCCTGGCACATGTTTTCACTTTTCATTAAGTTCCTGTCTTCCTGTGTCGCCTGCTCCTGGGTCCTTAACTCGCCACACATGATTTGCTTCCAGATCGTTACACACACACACACACACACACACACACACGCACACACACACACGCACACACACACACACACACACACACACACATGGCTACATGCCCGTCCAGAGAGACAGTGAAGTCACTCTGAAAATCACCTGTTCTTCCTTCAAACTCTACTTTAGCATCTGCTGTGAATAAATTTCACACTTTTCAGTGAAAAATATTTGATTTTGGTTGTGTTTTATCACCTCAGTTCTTAATAAATGAAAAGTTGACAGTGAAACTAAAGTACCCCTGAAGTAGTGTTATTTTTTCCACTATTATCTGTTGGGGACATATAGCAGTTCATTTAGAATAGTTAGTATCATTCGACTAAAAAAAGAGCTTTTTCAAAATATTTCAAATGATAAAATAAGCAATTATACCTTTGTGCCTCTTTTGGTACATGCATCTCTGTAACACTATGTTTCATTTAGAAACAGTTTTTTAGCTAAAGGGTAGTACTAAATAATCAGCAAACTTTAAATATGTGAATACTCATTGAGGAAGCTACAGACATCTCTGGTTATAAAAACCACCTACAAACCACTTCCCACTCAGCTCTTTGCTCACAGATAAGCTACTGCAGCTCTCAAGAATACGCCAAGAAATCATTATAATGAAGGCTAGTGGAAGGCAGCTTCTGGGTTTGGTCTTTGCCATCTTCGGCTCTCTTGGATGCATGGCCATCTGCATCGGCTCCACTTGGAAATTTGCTCAGAATAATGGGCTGGGTTTGTGGAAGTACTGTGAGAGTCAGGACTATTACTACAGGACAGCATGTGAAGCTTATATTTCTCTGGATGTACCTCAAGAACTGAAGGCTGCCAGAGTGCTCACCATCATGGCCATCATCATCAATGTTTTTGGTATCATGCTTGGTGTGGTAGGGGGCAACTGCACCACCAATGATCAGGATGAAAGGCAAAAGACTAAAGAGGCCTTTGTTTCTGGAATTGCCTTCATCATTGCAGGTGTCTTGGTGCTCATACCAGTCTGCTGGACCACAATCACCATAGCTCATGAATCCTACAATGAAGAATACAGAATGGGAGCTGCGCTCCACATCGGGTGGGTGTCTGTAGGGCTGCTGATACTGGGTGGAAGTCTCCTTTGCAGCTCCTGGCCACTCAAAAAGGAGACTAGCTATGATGTTAAGTACTCCCAACCTCCCTCTGTGTAAATCAGGGTCTTGTAAAAAGAAAAAGCAGTTAATTAGAAAGAGTAAAAGCTCTTTGAAACTTAAATGTGTGATTTGGATGAGTAGTAAAGTTTGTGTATTTAAACTTTCTGTAAAACCTTTGCCGTTGCTGCACCCAGGCTATGGAATACTCTCCTTCTTCATATTCGCGCGTCAGATTCCATTCAGTCTTTTAAATCACGTTTAAAAACGTATTTGTTTGATCTGGCATTTAAGGCGAATTAGGGTAATTTACATCTGGCTCTGTATTTAGATTATGTAATTATCTTATATTTTATATATTTGTAATTTATATTTTATTGTGATTTTATTTGTACTGTGATTTTACTGGAAAGCACTTTGGTGTACTTCGGTCTTAAAAATGTGCTATATAAATAAATTTTGATTGATTGATTGAAAATCTGACTGAGCAGCCACAAGTTTAAAGCTATGATTTATTAAACTGGTTCAATATTGATAGTGATTTGGATTATTGTCTTACTTGCTGTTTTTAAATACTTCTTTTTATATTTGGTTTTTGCTTGTCTGTTTAATGTGTGAGCATGTACCATTAAAATGTACATTAAATTTACTCACAAGCATGTGAGAGCAGACATTTCTTCGTTGCATCTGATGGCAGTGGCTCTTTATTTTCAAACATCTAAATAAAGAGTCTGATTACAATTTGTGTTTATGTCTTCATTTATAAGATACTAAGGAGTTGTGTATATTATTGCATAAAGAGTGGGTCAAGGGAGAGAGAAATATTCAATTCAGTTCAGTTGTATTTATTTATGCAGATACCTCAAGGTACTTTGTGCTACAATAATAGTATAGCCAACAGTAGTGTGTGCCCTCATAAAGATGTATTTCATGTTTTTTGTTTACAAATAGTCTGATAATGGAATACAGTATAATACGGGACCTCAAACATGTGGCCCGGGGGCCACTTGTGGCACACGTCACCCGTACTTGCAGCCCATATATCGACGTGACGAAATATAATGCAGTTTGGTACTTGAAGTTACTTTTTTTGTTATGAGAGTTTGTTTGTTGTTGAGTGCAATGTTAAAATAATTTCTTAAAAAGAAAAAAAATTAATATGAATGCAATATGAGCAGAGAGCACAAACCTGTTGAGGGATTCACAGTGTTAGTTCAGTAGTGAGAGACTTATTTCTAAAGAAAACAATTTTCACTACAGTCAAAAACTAACGTGTACATTTATGTCTGCATTTTTATTTTGTTAAATACAAACAAAATTATAGCAGAAGTGTTGCCACGTGTCTGACCAGAATGAGAGCGCCAATGTGTTTATTTGGTAGTTCAATGAAAGGCTTCGGTTAGTTAAGAGTGAGAAAAAGAAATTGTGTTCATGTTTGCAGTTTTGTTTTGTTATACAATAATCAAAATTTAAAAGAACAAACAAAACACGACGTTTTCAGAAATATTTGTGGGCGTTTGTTTGTTTTTATACTTCTTGAACACTAAAGTGGCCCTCCAATGAGATGACGGTACCAGCCGTGGCCCACGGCTCATTTCAGTTTGAAACCCTTAGTGTAGTGGGTGATTTAAAAAGCAAAACTTTCACAGTCCTCATAATGACACCGGGAAGGGCTTGATTAAACACTGAAACTGCTAAAATTAGCTTTGGACTTTTAATCATATGTTAGCTTGTAGTGATTTAATCACCAAAAATGTTTTTAGGAATTCACATTATGTACAAATGAAATGAAAAGCCAAAAAGTAATAATAATAATAATAATAATAATATTGTTGACACAGAATATCTACGAGGCAAAGCCTCACAAGTGGGGGGAAATACAGGAACCACCACGAGGCCACTTCTTTTTCAGTTTAGAATATAATTTAGTGCCAAACAGGTCTGATTATTAGTCTATTAAAGACACAATCATCCTTTAATGAGAAAACCGCAAATCAAAAATCAAATAAAAGTTGAAGTAAGATGTTTTTCTTTGCTTTATTATTTTTTCATTACTCTTCTAGGCATAGCTTGAAATAAAAAAAAAGTTAAGTGAGCATCAAACCATTGCTACAAACGTTTGTGGCTTTTGCTGTTTGTTGCAGGTGTCTTGCTCCTAAGCCCTGTAACTTGGACAGCCCACGCTGTGATTAAGGATTTCTACAACCCACTCTGGTCCGCTTCGCAGAAGAGGGAGCTGGGATCATCGCTTTACATCGGCTGGGGCTCTGCAGGACTGCTGTTCCTGGGAGGAGGCCTCCTCTGCAGCTCCCGTCCTCGTATGAATGACACTGACTGTGAGGTTAGGTACTCCAACCATCGTGCTGTTTAAGTCCTGCATTTAAATACAAAACTAATGAGAACAAGAAAAGTTTCATCTCCTGTTTTTCTCCTGAGTAAAACAACAAATTAGATATTTTATTTGTATGCTTTAGGAAAACTGTATTGCAGCAGAAATCACATCATACTTCCGTCAATTAGGAAAGTAACATGATTCAAATAAGCAGCAATGTTTGCAGTACAAGTGTTTAACTTTACTGAAGTTTTTACTTCTTACTTTTTACTTGCATCCAGAATATATTGAGGGAACACAGTTCAGTGTTTTGAATCTATTTGTGTGCTTAAAGAGATTCAAATACAGTAAATTACAATACATTTTCTAAGATATTTTACACCATGATAGAGATTTAGTTCACATTTCTTTGTTGTTCATGCTGTGTAATATATATTATATAGGTTATTCTCACTGAGTTTTTTTTCTGGGCTCTTTAGGAAATTCAAAGGATGTGCATTAGAAACTGCCATGAAATCTGACTGTGTAGTCAGTGATTAAAGTCTAGAAGTCTAGGCCTCATCTTTGACTGGTCTTTCTTTTTTTTGTTGAATAGTTTTCTTCTGTTTTTTGTGTCTTTCTTATAATGTATATGTAATATGAAATTAAGGTAAACATTAGAAGCATGTAAGATCATGTGTTTGCTTTTTTAATCTTAGCATAGCCACTCTTTTTTTTCAAGAGTATAATAAACAGAGTAAAAGGCAATTCGTGTTTTCAGTTTATGGAGTATTTCTTATATTTATGGGACTAGATGCGAATTAAATTGAAATCAGTTTAAAAATATCTTCTGTGTTTTATTGGTTTGTTTTTAGTACATGAATTTTAGTCTTTCTGTAATTAACTGGTTCAATATTAATGATCATGTCACAGATTTGCATTTTCTAGCTGAATAGTTTTCAGATTGTATTTGTTTTGTGTTTGTTGTAATGCATATGCAGCAAAAATTATTTTGTCAAAAGGTGAAATAAAATGAGCGAACAACTCTGTGTTTATAGACTTCTCCCTTTTTGAAAGACTAATGAGTTTTGTAGACTTTTTTTTTATTCAAGAACGAGATGAAAGATGAAAGACAACGCTACCACACTTAGCTCTTATTTCCAAGTTTTATTAGAACATACTTGTTTTTTGGGGGTTTTTTTTGTTTTTTTTGTTTGTTTTTTTTTTGTTTGTTTTTTCTTCTTTTTTTTAAAAAAAAAAGAGAAGAAAAAAATGCATATATCAATCACCTGGATCACCTGTTGAGAAAGAAAAAAGAAAACAAGCAGAAGAGAACAAGAGTAATAGAATAAACAACATCACAATGATATATGGGAATATGACAGTAAATACTAAATATTAAACATTATTGTGCAGCACATAAGATCAACAGAACACAGTGTGCTTTGAGGTAGGAGCCAAAAAGGGTGTAGTTTGTGGGTGTGATCACCCGTGTGTACACCTGTGAGCATGGACGCGCTTGTTTTTTTTAAAAGGTTCCTTCATGTAATGATCTGCTAGAGGGTGTGGGGGGGCCACAGCCCTGTCCTCCAGGGCATGAAGCAGGTATGGAGGAGATCAAAACTCCAGACATCCAGAGGCTCCCAGAACACAGAGAGACACTAAAGCGACAGCTCCAGCAGTGGCCAACGCTCAGTTATTTTTTAAATTTGTTTATTAATCAAGGTCTGCATTTGCTAATGTGGCTGTTTAGGATTTTTGTTTTTGCTATACTTTTTGTTTTGTACTGTAAATGCAGAAAAGTAGTGTTCACATATTTTATATACTAATTTGAAACTAATGTACTCATCAAATAACTTTGACACAAGTCACAGAGCATTTGGATGTCCCCCTCTACAATTGAGTAAAGTGAGTAATAGTTGTATGCTATCTCATGCTAAAACAAAATGATCACAAGCTGAACAGGGAACGGAGCAACAAATTGCAAAGAGGGCTTCCCGAGATAAAGATAAACCTGATATCATTCAAACCACCAACATGTCAGTTCATGTGTGCCATATGTCCTTTCCAGGAACTTAACATTATCATCTGCTGTCAATAAATCTCACATTTCAGTGAAACTGAAGCAAAGACATTGTGGCAGTGCAAGGCGAGGAAAAAGGTGAGGTGAGGCAAAAAGAGAAAAGGGAACAAATGATGATGTTACAAACACAAAGGCAGTGGTGTGGTGATTGGGAGTCTGAAAGCTTCACAATTATAGGTAAAAACCCGACAACGTCACACTGATAATTTGAAACAGATAATCTATAGTTTAACACTATGGTAATTACCAAGAAGGCACTCAGGTTGGTTATACAGAGATGTGGTTCAGAGTATAAAGTAAAAAATTTAATGCTTAAGTGAGGAACCCAGATTCAGCCACTTCCTGCAGAAGTCTTTTCTGCAGCTTTCAAGAAAAACCATCAGCTTAGCTTCATCATGACAGCTGGCTGTAGGCGGATTCTAGGTTTGGTCTTGGCTATCATCGGTTTTCTGGGGAGCATCATCACCTGTGCGGAGAGTTGGGTCAGAGTTGTGTTACATCAAGTGCAGCAGATATTCATATGAATTTTAGGTGATGATGCTGGGATCCATTCACTGAATTCCACCTTCATACCAACTTTAGAGTGTCCAATATAAAGACAGTATAAACAGTGTACTCTCGGTGTAGAGGATGGAAATCAACCATGACATATATACCTGTTTACACTGAACATATACTCACATATGTACTATGTCACCATATGTACTCGTATACACTGTATACATACCTACACTTGGATGTTTAGACCCACACTTTTAGATCAAATATTATTCACAAGTATATTAATAAAGTTTGTGCCACTTGTTGAATGAGCATATGTGATCAATACTGTCTGAAGTGTAGTGATTAGGAACAAAAAGTAACCTTTGATTGTATTATGGCCAGTGGTAACTAGTCCAAGCAAAGAGTTAAATAAACTTGGTCCCACTAAGCTGCACCTGGGAGCCTATCCGCTGCCAGAAGGTGGTGAACCACCCATCTCTAACCCATGAAGTAAACAAATTTTGACCACCTGAGAGTGCACCGGGGACACTTTTTGCCTGTCTCCAGTTGCCAAAGTTGTGAAAAACCCTTCTTTAACAGATATTGTAGCCCACCCCTGGCAGCAAACCTGACAAAGCTGTCAGGAGGATTCTTTTTTTTCTGTCTGCAGTATGTTTGATATCTGACTTTTGCCCTTAAAACTGTCAAAAGGACCCAATTAAAATGATTGATGTTGGGAACAGCGCTCAGAGAGTTATGGAGTAATGCCAGAAAGTTATCTAACGCAAGGGGATGCATCCATTGCACTTTTGAATGTGTGTGACTGTTAGAAAGCACTTGATAACAGAAAAAAGTGCTTGTGTGAATGAGTGAAAGAGGCATGTTGTCTGAAGTGCTTTGAGTGCTCTGGGAAAGTAGAAAAGAAGAATCAGTCCATTTACCATTTCACAGATTTCTTGAAAAGTCTGTGTGGGTCATCCAATAAATAATTCCATGTCTTTTTCAAATGATTGATTGATTGATTTTTTAAAATCTGCTAATATCTAACATACAGATTTTCTGTATGAAATGTTCTTTTGGGGAGTGATTGGTCTTTATATGTAACTTTGCATGCATCAGTGAAGACGCAGTCAACTTCTCCTTTAATTATTACAAGCACCTAAAAACCACTTCCTGCCTGACTTTCATGCAGATAAATTACTGCAGCTCTCAAGAACACACCATCTTTCCTCTTTGAAGAGATCAGCAGATCTCATCACGATGGCTGACTGTAAGCTTCTGGGTTTGGTCTTGGCTATCATCGGCTTTTTGGGGAGCATCATCACCTGTGTGCTCCCCATGTGGAGAGTGACAGCCTTCATTGGTACCAACATTGTCACAGCTCAAGCAATCCATGAGGGCTTGTGGATGAGCTGTGTGGTCCAGAGTACGAGCCAGAAGCAGTGTAAGGTCTATGATTCGGAGTTGGCCTTATCTCAAGATTTGCAGGCTGCCCGAGCGCTCATCATCATCGCCATCCTGTTAGGGTTCTTTGGGATCCTGTTTGCTGTAGTTGGGTACAGGTGCAGTAACTGTATGATGCATCAAAGACAAAATAGCAATGTGACTATAGCTTCTGGGGTTATCGTCATCATTGCAGGTGTCTTGCTCCTAAGCCCTGTAACTTGGACAGCCCACGCTGTGATTAAGGATTTCTACAACCCACTCTGGTCCGCTTCGCAGAAGAGGGAGCTGGGATCATCGCTTTACATCGGCTGGGGCTCTGCAGGACTGCTGTTCCTGGGAGGAGGCCTCCTCTGCAGCTCCCGTCCTCGTATGAATGACACTGACTGTGAGGTTAGGTACTCCAACCATCGTGCTGTTTAAGTCCTGCATTTAAATACAAAACTAATGAGAACAAGAAAAGTTTCATCTCCTGTTTTTCTCCTGAGTAAAACAACAAATTAGATATTTTATTTGTATGCTTTAGGAAAACTGTATTGCAGCAGAAATCACATCATACTTCCGTCAATTAGGAAAGTAACATGATTCAAATAAGCAGCAATGTTTGCAGTACAAGTGTTTAACTTTACTGAAGTTTTTACTTCTTACTTTTTACTTGCATCCAGAATATATTGAGGGAACACAGTTCAGTGTTTTGAATCTCTTTGTGTGCTTAAAGAGATTCAAATACAGTAAATTACAATACATTTTCTAAGATATTTTACACCATGATAGAGATTTAGTTCACATTTCTTTGTTGTTCATGCTGTGTAATATATATTATATAGGTTATTCTCACTGAGTTTTTTTTCTGGGCTCTTTAGGAAATTCAAAGGATGTGCATTAGAAACTGCCATGAAATCTGACTGTGTAGTCAGTGATTAAAGTCTAGAAGTCTAGGCCTCATCTTTGACTGGTCTTTCTTTTTTTTGTTGAATAGTTTTCTTCTGTTTTTTGTGTCTTTCTTATAATGTATATGTAATATGAAATTAAGGTAAACATTAGAAGCATGTAAGATCATGTGTTTGCTTTTTTAATCTTAGCATAGCCACTCTTTTTTTTCAAGAGTATAATAAACAGAGTAAAAGGCAATTCGTGTTTTCAGTTTATGGAGTATTTCTTATATTTATGGGACTAGATGCGAATTAAATTGAAATCAGTTTAAAAATATCTTCTGTGTTTTATTGGTTTGTTTTTAGTACATGAATTTTAGTCTTTCTGTAATTAACTGGTTCAATATTAATGATCATGTCACAGATTTGCATTTTCTAGCTGAATAGTTTTCAGATTGTATTTGTTTTGTGTTTGTTGTAATGCATATGCAGCAAAAATTATTTTGTCAAAAGGTGAAATAAAATGAGCGAACAACTCTGTGTTTATAGACTTCTCCCTTTTTGAAAGACTAATGAGTTTTGTAGACTTTTTTTTTATTCAAGAACGAGATGAAAGATGAAAGACAACGCTACCACACTTAGCTCTTATTTCCAAGTTTTATTAGAACATACTTGTTTTTTGGGGGTTTTTTTTGTTTCTTTTGTTTGTTTTTTTTGTTTGTTTTTTCTTCTTTTTTTTAAAAAAAAAAAGAGAGAAAAAAATGCATATATCAATCACCTGGATCACCTGTTGAGAAAGAAAAAAGAAAACAAGCAGAAGAGAACAAGAGTAATAGAATAAACAACATCACAATGATATATGGGAATATGACAGTAAATACTAAATATTAAACATTATTGTGCAGCACATAAGATCAACACAACACAGTGTGCTTTGAGGTAGGAGCCAAAAAGGGTGTCGTTTGTGGGTGTGATCACCCGTGTGTACACCTGTGAGCATGGACGCGCTTGTTTTTTTTAAAAGGTTCCTTCATGTAATGATCTGCTAGAGGGTGTGGGGGGGCCACAGCCCTGTCCTCCAGGGCATGAAGCAGGTATGGAGGAGATCAAAACTCCAGACATCCAGATGCTCCCAGAACACAAGAGAGAACACTAAAGCGACAGCTCCAGCAGTGGCCAACGCTCAGTTAAGTTTGAGACCCTTGGTGTAGTGGGTGATTTCAATTCCAAAACTTTTACTTTCATTATAATGATATGGGGAAGGGCTTGATTAAACACTTAACTTGCTAAAATTAGCTTTGGGCTTTTAATCATAGTTTGTAGTTATTTTAACTAACAATATTTTTAGGAATTCACATTATGTACAAATGAAATGAAATTAAAATTTAAAAAGTAATAATAAGAATAAGAATAATAAGAATAATAGCAATGACACAGAATATCTGCAAGGTGAAGCCTCGCAAGTGGGGGGAAATACAGGAACCACTATGAGGCCACTTCTTTTCCAGTTTAGAATATAATTTAGTGCCAGGTCTGATTATTAGTCTATTAAAGACACACAATCATCCTTTAATGATAAATCCTCAAATCAAAAATCGAATAAAAGAAAAGCCAAAGTAAGACGTCTTATTTTCTTTGTTACTTTTTCATTACTCTTCTCTTCTAGGCATAGCTTGAAATGAAAAAGTAAAGTGAGCATCAAACCATTGCTACAAACGTTTGTGGCATTTGCTGTTTGGACTGCGGTTATCTCTAAGCTGTTCTTTATATTTCAACCTACTTTCAGTGCTTTCAGGGTTTCTACGTAACCATGAAGTGAAGACGCAGTCAACTTCTCCTTTAATTATTACAAGCACCTAAAAAACCACTTCCTGCCTGACTCCTTTCATGCAGATAAATTACTGCAGCTCTCAAGAACACACATCGGCTGGGGCGCTGCAGGACTGCTGTTCCTGGGAGGAGGCCTCCTCTGCAGCTCCCGTCCTCGTATGAATGACAATGACTGTGAGGTTAGGTACTCCAACAGCCGCCCTGTGCAAGTCCTGCTTTACATGCACAACCCGCTATTGAAAACAAGAAAAAAGATTTTCACCTCCTTTGTGTGCCCCCGGTAAAACAACAAATGAGATATTTTATTTGTACGCTTAGGAAAATTGTATTGCAGCAGAAATCACATCATTTTCTGTCAATCAGGAAAGTAACATGATTCAAATAAGCAGCCATGTTTGCAGTACAAATGTTTAATCTAAGTTTTTACTTTTGCATATATATATATATCTATATATATATCTATGTGTGTGTGTGTGTGTGTGTGTGTGTGTGTGTGTGTGTGTGTGTGTATATATATGTATATATATGTATATATATGTATATATATATATACCGTTAAAGATGTTTTGTTTTTTTCTCTCCAGAT